AGATTGTGGAGCACATCAATATGTTGTTGTTGTTGAGTGCCATCGAGTTAATTCCAACCCATAGTGACCCTGTATAGGGTTTACAAGGAGCAGCTGGTGAGTTTGAACTGCCTACCTTGCAGTTCTAACGGCTTTGCAGTCTGGCACATTAACCCACAGCGCCACACAAGGACTCCTCCATAAACACATGTTGGCTTTTTATCTCTTCATGCTCAGCTCTGAATTAACCCTCCCTTTTCATCTCCTGCTTGTTGCCCTCCTTATTCTCCAAATCTCTCCTTAAACATCTCTCCTTTGTGAAGTTATCCTCAATGCCCTTCAGAGGCTACAATAGCATATATCACTCCATTATGGTGACTAATCTGTATTAGTTTTACATTACAGAGTAACTGCTTACAACTCTATCTCCCCACTCTCAGACTAAAGGGATTGTCACTATGTTAAGTCAATACTATAACTGTAATTTTTAGAAAGCTATTAGAATAATTTCCATCAGACAGTAGGTCTTCAATTCCTTTTGATGAATTATTGATGTCCTAGTAATACCAGGATGTGACTCAGTGGTAGAATTCCTGCTAGCACGTAGGAGACCACGGTTTGATTCCTGGTCAAGGCACCTCATGTTTAGCATCCACACATTTATCAGTGGAGACTTTGTGCTGCTATCAGGGTCTTGAACCAGTTCGTTCTGGTTAGATCCCTTTCTGAGAATCTGCATTTCCACCCAGATACACCGAATCAGAACCTATAATTTAACAAGACGCCCAGCAAATTGAATGGACTGGCTAGAAGTCTTGTTTGCTATGTTGTTGAACAGGTTTTAGCAGAACTTCTAGACGATTCCAGATTAAGAATCAAGGGCTGATGATCTACTTCCAGAAATCCCTCATTGAAAGCCCTATTGATCACAATGGGCTAATCCATAACTGATGACACGGATGTCTCAGGGCTTGGAAGCATTTCATTCTGTTGTGCATGGAGTCATGAGGATCACTAAAAAAAAAACAGCAGTAATACCAAGAGAGGAAATTCACGTTTTTATACCAGTGAATATTAATTAACATTTGTGCCAAAGTATTTTATATCAAAAAACCCATTGCATCTAACTTTTACTTCCTGAAACCCTGAGATGAATAACAAACATTTGTTACCCTGCAAGTTCCTGTGTGCACCTCCATGCTGATGTGAAACATTTAGTGCTTGCTGACAAAGTTTACAAGTACATATTTGTTCATAGAACCAACATTATATAAGTATCTGTGTAATTTTATATGTCTGGA